ACGATTTCATGAAATAAGTTAAGCTGAGTTCAAATTAAAAGTTTTTCAAGGATTTCGCACTTAGTGGAGTTTTAATAGAGTGCTAGGTTAGGATTTAGTGTAAAACTTTAAATTACAGGTAGGAAGTAAAGTGAATGACAGCGAAAAAAACCTATATTTAGGCAATCTGAAGAAAATGTTCGATGTCGGTTTTCTTTGTTAGTATACTTGAATATGTTTAGGCCGCAAATATGTCACTGTTTCATTGAAACAAAAATATTTTGCCGACAAAGAGAAAATTATTACGTGACAAATAAACGACAAAAGAGACAGAGTCAAACATTGACAGGAAAACGACCAAACTGCTAAATCTGAGAGAAGGAACAATACATAAAAAGAGACGATACAAACCAAACATTTACAGAGTGTCAAGAAAAGTGAAATGTTTAGCATAAAAATACGATTTTGATTGACCAATCGCTTGTGAGCTTAGAGAGTTTACTCAGAGCGCTTGTGAATTTTAATTGGCGGACAAAATAGGAAGTCTGCATAATACACAAAGAGCTGTTATATAAAGAGAGACGCCTCTTACACCTAAACTCAGTTGTAATTAAACAACTTTCAAGGCAGTTAAGAATTCCCATCAACAAGACTTTCAAAGAGAAACGACTCATTTCACAAACATACTGACCTGCGAAGCCGACTTTAGCTTAGAAAAGGTAAGTTGAGTTTGAGGAATTTTTTTCATATATATTCATTATATTTTTGTTATTCGAGAGATGTTAGAGAGTCTGCCAGAAGTGCCATAGTTCTTTCAAGGAAGATTGAACGTAGACATCGACGGTTCAACCGAATCGTGATAAATGTTATTGCTGGAGCCTATTTCGTTAGAAACTTGTGGGTTGGCAAACGACAGAGCAAACAAGAATTCTCCTGGTTGTTGAATGTTTATAAGGCTACCACCGTTTCAGTTTGAACAATCAGAAATAAGAATACAACTTTAAGTCAATCTTGACTCAGGGAAAACTTCTTGTATTGCCAACGAGAGACGTGAGCAGCGTAAAAGAAGACTTCTAGCTGCCTAAAACTCGGTTTAGTCCAATGAAGAATAAGAAAGATGGGTTGTTTTCTGGTATTGGATAAACTACGGTTCTTTAAATAAACAAATCGCTCGTTTTCTCACAACGAAATACGTTTTCGTTTGGTAGATATATTTGTAATGTTTAAGCAAGCAATTCTTCGCGACTTGTTGTGTTCGGTAATTTTTTTTCGCTCGGTCCAATATTTGGACTGTTTTGTTGAGTTGTGTTTGCAAATTTGATATGGTTGTTGGTTAAAGAAAGCTAACTGTTGAACAGTTAAACTTCAGTGAGCCCGCCAAAAGTCATTGTCATGTTCCATTTCCCGCCAACAAATGTTGAAATCGTTGATTGTGGCTTACGTGTTGAGAGTTTTAGCCGTTGTAACTGTCTTCTGTAAGATTTGGGGAGAATTTAAACCGAAATAAGTAGATAAGTGTTTGATAATTAAGCGCCTTAGGGCAAATAGCTATCTTAACTTTTTGTCATCGAAACTAAAGATCAAAAGCCGATACAGATGATGCTATTTACGTACGAAGCCAAAGAGGAACATCGCAAATCACCATTACAGTTCGTTATGAAGGCGAGTGAACCCAAAATGTACACATTTCATTTGAACATATTTTGGCTGTCCAGGCTCTACTGTTCTTCAGTGTTATCGGAGGGTATTTCTACCTAATTTTTCGTACTGAGTAAGCCTGCTTTCCGCGTTTCTCAAATATTTAGAAACCGCTGTTTAAAGTGCGAATTTATCTGTCAGCACGTCAGTAGATTTGAATTACAGTAGCCTCCACAGGATTTCGTGCATAACTGCTTTTCCTGGGTGCATAAAGCATGTCAAGCATCTAAATAAACGATGTTCACATCACCAAAAATAAACTACGGAACAATTCAGGCAATGGTCTATATTTAGGGCCTTACGATGTCCAGTAAATAAAGACTGTTCAGAGAACACAAGGTTAGCCTTAACGGACTCCGTAACATTTCTTAGTGAGCAAAATCGTTTCTTTCGGGACGTAAAGTTCTACAAACACATTACATTAGCGCCTGTGCAAACTTTCCGCTGTAACTCACGTATTTTAAAACCAATTTTTCATGTAGTTTGGAGACATCTCGAGGTTGATTTTAGAGTTACACACTGAATCATCTGGGAAAAACTTCAACAAAAATTTTCACTTGCATAAAATAATCATAAACTGCGGATGATCGATCTACAAATGTGGTTTGTTTACTCTTGAAAAGTCACAGAAGACATATTAAAATTTAAGCTCATTTTCAAAACAGAAGGAACACTTTCTAAAGTTGACAGCTTTGTTCCTTATTAGAAAAATGAAATGTCGTTTATTATCTCGCAGGAAATTACAAGTAAGAATTACTAAGAGGCGTCACTACAGTGCACATAAGTCCACGCGAAAGTCTGATATTTTCCGTCGAAGCAAACGTATTAAAATTGAAGGGCGCAAAAATTAATGAACACTCCACAAAAAACTGGGACCATTGAGAGCAAAATGATTGCAATTAGTGGTGCGCATCAATTGCTAGTCGGCTGTCGAGTACTTCCTTTAGTTATTGAATGAAGAATAAGAGTTTAGTGAGATTAGCGCAAAACCAACATAAGCAAGGTTATAACATACGGCTCTTCTCGACAGGTGTGTCAGTTAAATTAAATTTAACCAAAAATTCGATTCCCTCCTAATGTAGGACCAAACTAGTGAAGGAAAGAATGTTGATAAAAATTTCTCAATCACCGATAAACGTTTTTAAAACCGCAGGCACCTTTTATTTCTTCAAATTGTCAGGATTGTAACTATCACTTAGAATTTCTAAAGAAAGCCGACTGCAAAGAAAAGCGTGCATAATTGAGGTGTCTTTTATATTCAAAGGGTTCGACCTAAATAACGGCTCTACATAATAAGAAAAATTGCGGTAGTTCACAGCAAGGCCAGTTAAACGAGATTCCGTGATGTTTGAAAAGCCCAGATAGCTAAGAATTACGGTGTGTTTAGCGCTTCCTTTAGATTCCCTGGTATTAAAGGAATTGCCATTCTAAAGTCTTTGATAATCCTTTAGTGACAACATTCGGTTTCTACTCTCTAACAAAGTTTATTGCTTACATCATGGCGCGATGAACAACTAGTAAATCGTCTTTAGACAAAATAAAGACCTTTTTTTTACATCCAGGTAGGGTAATAAAAGCTAAATTGCGGCAAACACTACACAATACAAGCTTTTTCGACAACAGATAGTGTTGCCGGCGCTAAGCAAACAGGTTAGATTGAGCATAATAGAAACTACTCCTTCAGAGTACGAGAGGTTCTGAGGTCTCTTTACCTGGAATAAAGTTCCTTAATGCTCCCATATTGATCGAGAACCAAGCATGCAAACATTTATAAATAGAATCCTTAAACACTAAGGGTCGGAAACAACCAAATAATGTCTGTTTGCAAGGGTTAGTAGTGTTAAGTTGGTCGGTCAATAATTCATCTTGTTCGATTGCTCATTTCATGAAGATAATCTCAGTTGCAAGCGAAGATCCAAGTTGTGGGAAAGTTTTGGCCAAGTTTCGTTTCTGCGGAGTGAAATGTGAAAGTTGTGAAAGCTTGACACATCTATTCAAAATGGGCGGCTTGCAATATGAAGGTCATTTGAAATTCTTACAATTATAATCACTGTAGATCTACAGCTGTCTGAAAAGGCACCTGGATATGGCTTTTGTGGAATGATTGACGCAACCCAAATTTGTTAATTAATTGCCTCAGTTTCCGGAAATGAGAAATTGGATTCTAAAAATTTTACATTTTTCTTTTCGTCCCACGCGCTGATTTGGCCCTATAAAAAACTTACAGATTTTATCGCTCCGTTTCTGAGAGTACAAATGTCAAGAGGGAAGGAAAAAAAAAACTTAAGCAAAAATATTTTCTGTGAACAAACCAATGTGACTTTCTTAGCGAAATAGCCGTGAATGATCGATTCAGACAATTCAGGCATCGCTCCAATTTGACAGCAGTTTAGCAAAAGTGATTAAATGAAAGTCGTGTTTTTGTGTGTTATTTAGGTCGCGTTTCTCCCGGACCGATCTTAATGAGTCAAGTAAACTAGGAACAAAGCGCTCAGCCAGAGGCTTAGAATAATTTAAATCGATGATACAACGACCGAAAGATATCCTCGCAATAATGCCAGAACAGGTGCTTCCAGACCAGTTCCAAATTAAAGCCGAGTGCAAGGTTTTTCTCTCTCTAAGCTATTAATCCTTGCATTTAAAAAAGCCGGTGCCTAAGTAGTAGAAAAGAGCTTTGCGCCAAGTTAGTTTCCAGTGGTAATTGCTTTTGTTTGTGGAATTTATATTTGCAGTTGTTATGCTAATTGCGGAGGCCAATAGTAGGCCGGTAAGACCTAGGTTACAGCTAGGCTCTACAAGAATGTTAAGCGACCCCGGTTTTTCGTGCGGTCAGTTTTTGACGTGAATAATTTGAGCACTCAAACGCTAAATTGCATAGCTTTTAAGGTGTTGTGTGATGACGGAGGGCTTTTACCGCTCCAATCTAACCATCCTTCCTGTTCTTTCAAAGATATCAGCACCTTTAGATCTTTTGCCATTAATGTTAGTTTATCCTGTGCGAACGGTGATCTTTGTGTAGTGTTGACATTAAGGATACGAGATAGGACCGAACCATAAAGTGTCCTATCGTAATAATTGTATTTGCTCATGAATTATGAAACGGCAATTTGTTTGTAAGCCTTCGTGATGGACAAGCGATAATGGACCCCACAACTTTTAATAAAATGTCTCCCCACGGGTGGTCGCAAAGGCCCCTATGTCAATAAACGTAGCAAGGCTCCAAAGGGCTTTCCCATGGAACAATAGCTTGGGAGGGGCTTACAGACATGTCACGTTAAGCCTGTTTACGAACTGTCACTAAAAATAAAACTTCTTATTACTAGGAAAAAAGAGTAATCTTCGCTGGTCTCCGTGGCAGAAGGACGTGACAGGACGGTACGAAGCTACGTTCAGTCACCAACCAATTTTTTTTTAACACAGTCGACGTGCTAGTACAATAGAGAACAGCCTACATCATGATGGAAGCAATGAATCCCGGCAATCCTGCAGCCGCTATGGGAGTCGGAAACCCGCAAGCACAAGGCCACCCTTTGGACGACAGCAAGAGTAAGCAGGCGAAAGAGAAAGTTTACCGCCGAAGTTACACTCACGCTAAACCACCTTACTCTTACATTTCGCTGATAACAATGGCCATCCAACAGTCGCCGAACAAGATGCTTACGCTCAGCGAAATTTATCAGTTTATCATGGATCTGTTTCCGTTCTACAGACAAAACCAGCAGCGGTGGCAGAACTCCATACGACACAGCCTCTCGTTCAACGACTGCTTCGTGAAAGTTCCTCGATCGCCAGATAGGCCTGGTAAAGGGAGCTACTGGACACTTCATCCCGACTGTGGAAACATGTTCGAGAACGGCTGCTATCTACGCAGACAGAAACGCTTCAAGGCGGATAAAAAGCCAAGCCTGAGTGACCTTCCTAAGCCTGGGTTGTTGAGCCCGGTTGTTTCCTCAATGCATCATCAAAAAGTCCAAGGACCCAAGAGTTTAGGAGCACCCAGCTTTCTTGCACCGTCTCCCTACAGTGCTATGAGCGCAATGGGCGCCATGGGAGCTATGGGAATGGGAGCAATGGGCTCAATGTCTATGAACAAATCATTTAATCATCCATTCGCCATCAAGAACATCATCGCCTCCGACCACGAAGCCGACCTCAGAGGCTTCGATCCAATGCACTTTAGCCCGTATCATCCCGCAGGAATGTCTTCATCCATGTCTTCTCTAGGACTACCAAAACCTTACGACACTAACCCTATTACGACAGAGCCCAGTCCGTATTACCAGGGCTGTGTGTTTACACCGTCTAGTTGCGCGGGAATAGCAGGGTTTTCAAACATTTCATAAACTGATAAATGAACCATTCAGGGATGTCGGACGCTTAAATTATGTACTATTTCAGGCGCTCAGGAGCTGCCTTGTAAATTGAGTTATCTGTTATGATACAGTTTGCCAGTGTATACGAATTAATACTTAAATTCCAAGGTGATTTTGTTGATTATATGTCAAATAGACGTTTTTTTTCCCTGCCAAAGAAGACCAAAACATTGGAGCAAATATAGAAGAATTCTATGAAAGTTAAAGAAAATTATAAGAAGTGTAATATAGCTTGTACCATTTCATTCAGTCGTCGTGCTCACTGTGATTATAGAGTATTTTGACGAAGGTAAATGTATAAATCAAAATATTTTGAAACTGAATTAATCGGAAGACGTGATCGTTTAAGTTATGTTTGGGGGCAATTCAAAATTAGGAGCATTTGTTGCAAACTCAGTACGTTATTGTTTAGTGTTTTTTTGCTGCGTGACAAAAGATGAGCCAGAAATTTTCCAAACTACCGAGTTATTCGGTACAAACTGCTCTTGTGGTTAGCGGTTCGTATGTCTACTGTGTATTTAACACTACATTTACCATTATTTATATAAGCAGGGAGAGGTTTTGTAAATTTACAGTCTTGCCCAAATAGCAGTTGTTGGTTCAACGAAATAAATTTTTAACGAAGAGTTTTCTTGACGTCTTTATTGTTTCCAATGTCGCCGTTGCAGTAAGTTGAGGTTGTTGAGAAGCGAAGTCAAATTAATTATTTATCGGCTGGCAGCGAAAGCTAACAGCCTTCCAAATGCCAGCTTTTTTAATTAAAAGTAATCAACAGTTCGACATTTCCCGTAACAGTTTTGACAAATACTTGGCAAACCGAGTTATAACGTATAGAGCGCGGCGATCAGCCTTGACAAGTGTCGTGCGCGCGAAGTAAGGAATTAATCCTAGAGCGCCCGCCGCAAGGGTACCCCAGTATGGGGTCCTGCTGCAAACAGAAAATCGTGGCGGTAACATTACGATGTGTGAAAACCACTTTACACGCAGTAATCGAATTTGAGAGACTTTTTCCTTGATAGAACGTGCAGTAAAGGTGTTAAAGCAGTTCGCCGATCGCTAGCGGTCCCTTTGAAATTTCCCTTAGGATCATCTGCCATCCTTTTCTCTAATTTTTGGCCCAATAAACTTTTCTCATGTCGATGTTTCTTTGAACAACAATGATATCTAAAAACAGCTTTTCTTTGCTTGGAGAAAAAGCCTATAGTGTCATAGCGCTGAATGATGTGATGAAAGATTGGAAATCATAGCGCAAACTTGCCTCAAATCAGCGGGAAAGCATTCTAAACACACTAGTTCTTGAATGATTCGAACAATCAACACGCCAATCTTTCGCAAACTTTTGGAACTTGTGTTTGAAGAAGTCCTCTTTCAGGAGATCAAATTTCTTGAAAGGGTTCTTAACTGCCCAAACTCGACTGAGTTGTTAGTTTAAACACCAACCTGTATACACAGTCAGGCATGCATTATTAGCTAAAAAAATACATTGAATTCGATTGATAGCTAAGGCGCTGTTGATGTCTACCGCTGTCGAAACCTTCTGTTCCTACGAATAGAATGGGAAGTTCAGTCTAAGGCTCTGGGGTAAACTGAAGTTTGAGCAACGAGGAAACATTTAAGGTACAGTACGTACGTTTTGCTTTTATTCGCATACATCTCCGCTAGCCCAACTCAAGCGAAGTTTCCGTGGGAAAAAGCGGGCCTTTCTTATGAGTATTGTAAAGGTCGATCGGCGGCGATCATTTCGGTCACAGTTTTGGTAACTCGCAACATGGTTATCACATTTATCCTTTGTTTTTGTCTTTCGGACACTTTTATGTCTTACACTGGTGCAAACTTTTCATCAATCGCAGTGACTTTTTTCAGGAGATTCCTTACCACTAAAGCGCTTTGCGCGGTCCGCGAAGCGGCTCTATTTCGTCACGTAAGCCGATTAAAACTTACTAAAGGAAAATTTGCGTTTGACAAACGACGTAAGGTCATCAAGACAGGGTTTTTTCGAATTCGAATTGTTCCTGAATTGCCTTAGCACACTAAGTCGTAATGAGGTGACAGTCGTTCGCCGCGAATGAATATCAATTCCGCGTGAACACGGCGTGAAGCTCCGTGCTCTAGGCGCTGTTCACCGCACGCTTGCACCCTGAAGTGATACATAAACGTCCAAGAGGCCATAGCCTGATGATAATTCTAGTTTAAGTCGTCTGGAGTGCTCCCGCATATCTCACATCTGTTAAGGTACGTTTGTCACTTGAACTTATTACAAACGGGGACAGTGTGGTAAAGATACTACACTTTCACTACCCAAGATCGCATTGAAAGGAATTGCGTTGTTATGGCGTGGTATTTTCGGTCAGTGTCAGTTGTAGACAAAACGAGAAAAGAGAATCATAGCATCATTAAAAGTTTAATATGTTTATCACCTTAGGTCGGCAAAATGAGTGATTTGGGAAAGCCGGAAGATGCATCTGAACTATTGTTCTAACCCGCCTTCACTTCTAAACGAAAGAAAAAATCTTAGCGAGTACCGATCAACGTTGACGTGGAATTCTATGTAACAATTTGCCTTAGGCGTTTGAGTTAGGGACCATACTATAAAAGAAACCTTGAAAAGAATTTAGCCCTGCGATTAATTTTATTCAATACATCCTACAGTAGAATATCAAAGGCTCCGAAATCTTTTAATCAAGCTATGACACAATCCGGTTCGAACTGGCGGCATTTCGTTCTTAGTTTTAAAGGAATTCAATCGAATTTGAAGATGTCGGGTAGCAGCGAAGGTTTAATGTTTATTCGGAAACAATGTTCTTTTGTTCTGTTCGTATTAGGGACACGGGTTATAATCATGGAGGTGATCATTTTCAACTTAAGACAAGATATTTCATGTTTTAAAGACGGAGGAATACCAAGTTTTTCATGTCCAATCGACCTTGCAAGCCTTGAAGGTGAAATTTGGGTAGAAGTTAAAGTAAACTGTATTGAATAGCTTTGTTTATATTATCTTTCCTAAACCTGGTATACGAATAAAGAAAAATTTCCCTGAGGTGTAATCTAAGGAGAACTTGTTTCTAGGTGAAGAAAAGAGGGAAAGTGTATGACAAATTGCACCTCAATCGCACACAAAAATCCCGAGAGTCAAACGCATTCGCTTTATTATTAGCGTTGAATAACACTCCAACATGGCGTATGGCTACTTCACTGATTTAAGAGTTTCGTGACCAGATTGCTTTAAATTCACTCTCTTTACTGTTTCTTTAGTTTACAAGTGGTTTTCAATAGCTTTCATTTGGACTGGAAATGCGAAAATTAAGCCTTACAATGAAGCAAGACGCGGAAAAATCTTTTCGCTTGTTAAGTGGCTTTTTATGGTTCATCTTGAATTTCATGAGTTTTGTCTCTGCCAAAAGTTCAACCGATAAGAGCGCAATTTATTCGGGCCGCGTTCTCATTCACTGTTGTGTCATAATTCAATATCTGCTCTAGTCACTTAAGAGAAAAATAAAAGTATCGCATTCAGAGAGGACATCTGCAAAGCTGCTCACTGATAAAGCCGACTTGTGCGTGCCTCCCATAAAGCGGGCAGGTACTTCGGCTGTCGTTCCTCGAACGTAGTCACCCCAAATTTCCTTTTTGATCTTATCTAAGCCCGTGCCTGGTGTAATTTATTTTCAACACGAATTGTGCAAACTGTGGAATTGACATGAGAAGATGATTGCTTTCATCAACGATAGACTAAGACAGATTACTTTTGAAGATGGCACCAAGATGTTTTGAGGTCAGCCCTGAGATTGAATGTATATTCATCCGGTTCTGCAATTTAAGCCTTTGCAATATTTATTCAAAACCCTTCTCAATAAAAGAAACTTGAAACTCAGTCGATATTTTCTTAAACGATATTCGAGACACGCGTCCGACTCGAGTAGAATGAGAGTGAACGATGACCAATCGTTTCAGTGAGCAAACACGCCGACCACCCATAGTTGTCTAAAGAGAAACCTTATGGCTTCCCTTCGCCTGAAAACGTATTTTCTTTAGGGTCAAAGGCGTGTTTAACTTACGAAGCTGAAATAATAGGCGTGCCTGAAAACTGAAAGCTTTTTCTATAGCATGTGTTCTTTGAACTCATAAGTGACTTTTTCGATTCGACGAGATTAGCCCTCAGGAAGGAAGTTTCGAAAATGAGCTGAGGAAATGGCGACATTAGTCAGGGAGGGGAAAGCGAAAGAGGTGCGGTGGATTAAACACTCTACCGCTGTCAGCAAGGTCCTTGAGTTATCGCAAAATATTTCTGATAACAATACCCAAGATTTTCTCGTCGCCAACGTAAACATCGACAAATTTTCCCTTTCGCAAAATACCACGCTCGTACTATGGCGAAAATGAAGTCGCGTCGAACATGTCTAAAATTAGGACTTTCTTTAGCATCGATATATCAAGCGAATATTCCTAACGCAGTTCAACGGCGAACGGTTTTATTAAGCGATTCAGTAGGGGAAAAACATTTAGAACTCTAGCCAAGTATAAAAGTTTACAGTTAGGACAAACTTTGGGAATCAGTGATTCAACTTGATGAGTTAAATATTTGCATGTTATATAGTTAACTGCTGGCTTAGGGAAAATATTGTTAAGTACACAACTCAGTTAAACTTTACTATAAATGTTCTCTAGAAGCTGAGACTTAGCTGTCAGTGGTTAACAGGCTCGCTGTCGATGTTTCTAAATCTAAATGATATCAGAAACTGTAGGATTCGCTTTTTATAAGCTGGTTACGATTAAAGTAAAGGGAGACGATTTTGCTAGTTTAAACCTTAGAAGTAGAACTAGAGCTAAGTGAACGCCAGCTAGGTCTCTTTAGCCACTCCACAGAGAGATTAATCATTTTTTTTTTTTGCTTTCCTTTGTGGTTAGCGACTGAACGAGATAGAATTCTCGTTGATGACCGACAAATTACTTGAGAAGCTTTGAAAATGATAGTCTTCGGTAATGGTTTCTGGTAGCGCACGTGGAAAGCAGGCAGACAAAAGAACTTCAAGGTATGACAAATGGTATCTCGATATTTAACATGTTTAGTGTAAAACTTGCTACAGAAGTTAATCGAGCTTAATCCTATAAACTCAAGTGTATTATAAATGTTTCTTTGACGCCAAATTCCATGGTATCGAGACAATATCAGCTTTAGAGAAAACGAGGTTTCTCAGCCTCTCACACCGATAAGTGAATGTAATCGAATTAGGTCCAATGTTATCCAAAAGCGACCAACATTTTATACGCTTCCGTAAATGTTTAGACTTCTGTGCGAAGATATCATTTATGTCCGACTCTCTGTTCTTCATGTAAAAAGTGTTTTCATACTAGAAGATATTTCTGAGTTTTGTCTTGCTGCTAACAGGATTTGTCATGTCACATCAGCTAATTGCTTATAAGAATCAGCCTTTAGGCTGATTCTTCGTCTTTACTAGGTTAAAGCTCAGGGCGACCGGGAAACCACAACGAGACTAAACATAACTTATCTTGAAATGTACAGAGCATCAACAAAACTGATGGTCGAATCTGCCATAAAAGATCTACTTATTCGTAACTGAATACTGCAATTTTGTACCAGTAGTGATGACTGAATGATTTCTTCGCAAAG